ACTTCAGTCCGATATGTGGCTTCCATGGTACGTCGTAGACGCCTTCGACTCCTGTGATCAGCTTGCTGCCTGCGTCGTTCGTCATCGCGAAGTCGATGTGGGAGGGCTCCTGCTCCGCGAGGAAGCAGGTGTGCTGGTCCTCAGGCAATGAGATGATGGCGCTCGCGCCCATCGCCTTTGGCCAGCCCGTCGCCCAGAACGTCTTCGGGTCTGTGTTGAAGTCGCCGCACACCACCCACGCCCCTTGCAGCGTCTTGAGGAAGGCGGCCAGCGCGGTGAGCTTGCGGCTGTTGATGCCGTCGGTCAGCGACCTGTTGCAGTCCAGGTAGAGGCTGACGACGGTGAGCGTAGTGCCCTTCAGGTGCCAGGTGACTGGTGTCCAGTCGCACATGTCGAAGCCTCCTGCTCGGTCGGCGCCTCGTCGAATGTCAGCCGTGGCATTCGAGACCTGCCGAGCTCTGGCCAAGTGTCTGAAGCTGGTGACGCGCAAGTGCCCCTTGGAGATGACTGCCGTGCCCCCACAGCTGCCTTTCTCCGATCGCGTACTAGCTCTCGCCGCGGTGCAGGTAGCCCTGAACCCCATTTTGCAAAGGTCCTGCTCCGCGTCGTCTAACTGAGAGTGCAGTACGTGCATCTCTTGCAGCGCCAGCATGTCGAAGCCGTTGCCTCCGATGCCCTGCTGCAGCAGCCACAGCCGTGCTGTGGGTCCCCAGGTCGAGATGTTGGCGCAGAAGAGGGTGCGCTCGTGGGCTGCGGCGTCGCCAACGTGATGCCGCCGCCGCCCTCGCGCGCGCCCCTAGTGCGTCGCGGGGCTTGTGGCCCCCGTCGCACTCTGCGCCGCCGCCGCACGCCTGCTGGCCAGGAAAGCCTCCTCGGCTGCGCCCTGGGCGGGGCCTGTGGCATCTGGTGCCGCCGCCGCAGCCGCTGGGGGCGCTGCCTCTGGGGGCCTCGGGCCTGGCGCTGCAGGTTCACCTGTGGCGAGCTTCCTCTTCTTGGCCTCTTGCTTGATCACCTGCCGCTTCTCGATCGCGGCTGCTTTGGCTTTCGCCAGGTGCTCTCGCAGGTGGCCCTGGAACTGCTTGGCATTGTCTTGCATCTGCTTGACGACCTGTGCCTTGGCCTCCTCGACTTGCTTCCTGGCTTCTTCATCCAAGTCGTCGTCGTCCAGCGCGAACTCCTTGCTGATGTCCTCTGCCAGCTGTCCTCCCGTCAGCTCATCGAGCTGTCCCGACACCAGCTGCTCGATGATGCCAGCCGTGGGAGCCTGCTTTCCCTCCTGGTGGATCGCATCGCACTCCGCTTCGGCCTGCAGGACTGCGCTGGCCCTCTCCTCTAGCAGCTCGCGCGCCTTGCGCGCCTCCTCCTCTGCTTTCTGCTTCGCCGCGAACGCCTGCGAGTACTGCCGCTGGGCTGACTGCAGTGATCGTGCTGCGGCTGCCATCCTCTCGGCTCTCGGCTTCTGCGGGGCCGTCGTCTTGGCCGACTGCAGTGCCGTTGTGGCCACCTGGATCTGCTTAGTGATCGTCTCACTGCCCTCGATCTGCAGCTGGCCGAGGGAGGCGGTGATGAGCTGCAGCGCCTGCGCCAGCTGCTCGGGCCCTTTGCCCTTGCCGCTGGCCTTGCCGCCTCCCGCGCTGCCGCTGCTGCCGCCGCCTCCTCTGGTCGCCGCCTCCGCCGCGTGGCCCTTGGGGCTCTTCGGCTTGGGAAGCATCTTGTCGCAGGTCCCGCAGCGGTAGTTCATGCCCTCCAGCTTCGAGTTCCACCACCACTGTCCGCAGGACTTGCAGACGGTGTAGTCGGCTGAGCGTCCCATGCTGCTGGCCGACGTCGGGGGCGTGCTGCCGTGGTGCTGGCTCAGCAGCTGGAACTGCAGCCTCGCCCTGAGGTCGCGGCGCGCCTGGGCACGCACGCGGCGCTCTCGCCTGTGCCAGGCGGGCGAGCGCTCGCGCGTCGCCGTCCTGGCGGCGCCGCCGCCGCCTCCTCCTCGCTGGACGCGCCGCCTGGCGGCGCTGGGGGCCCCGATGGCGCGGGCCCGCCCGCGCGCGCCCGCCGCGGGGCAAACGGCACGCGCGGGGCCTCGCTGCGGAGCCACCTGAGGGAGGAGGAGGAGGAGGAGGAGGAAGAGGAGGAGGAGGAGGAGGAGGAGGAGGAGGAGGAGGGAGGAGGAGGACGAGGAGGACGAAGAGGAGGAGGAGGAGAAGTAGAAGAAGAACCAGCAGCGCACATGCTGCACACGAGACGAGGCACCAGAAGAGAGGGGGCTGGAGCTTCGCTGCTGCTGCCGGCCCGCTCCGACGGCCCCTGCCACCCGGGGGTGCGGCACCCCGCCCGTGGCGCCAAGGGAGCAGCGCGAAGCCAGCGCGCTGCGGCTGGCGTTTTGGTTTCGGCGCTGCCGAGGTGCACGGCGCACAGCTCCGCTCGGAAGCTGTCCCCAGTGGAGGGTTTCATGGAAGGGCTTTGGCGACCCGTCCTCCTCCTCCTCCTCCTCCTCCTCCACCTCCTCCTCCTCCTCCTCCTCCTCGTGCAGTCCCTGGACTCATGATGTTCCACCCCACTTCAGCTGTGACCACCAGGAAATATTTCGAGCACCACGAAAGTACCGAAGCTGGAGGGCTTTCACGTGTCCGGCCCTCGGAGGCGGCAAGTGCTCGACACTGTTTCGATACTTTTTCTGGGTGCTCGAAATTATTTCTGGGGTGTGGTCCTTAAGTACGATGGGAGCAACATAACCCCAGACCCTCCTGTCGGCGTCACCCCAACACACTAATAATGAGTGTGCGTCGCCCTCCCAGGGGAACGCGCGCACCGAGAAATCTTTTAGTATATGCGTAGTGGCGGGCGCTTTCTGGCTACACCGCTCGGAAAACGATATACCATAAGATGGGTTATGCTATATGTTTGGGTCGGCGCTCGCCTCCATGGAGGACATATATGTCTCTGTGCGTCCTATCCTGGGCTCCATCAAGGCCTGGTCTTCGAGGCGGATCCAGCCGTGGTGACGAGAAACCTCCAGGAGGTCCTGCGCACTGCGCGCGAGTAGCAGACGACGGCCCCTCTCCTGCATTGTTTGCTGCCCGCGTTGGGCCATCGGGAGGCTTCTCGTCGCCACGGCTGGATCCGCCTCGAAGCACGGGCCTGGATGGGGCCCGGAAGGGGTCCGCGCACCGATTCCGAGCGGATCCGGACGCTGTGCATACCGCGCGCGAGGAGCCGCGCGCAGTTCTGACGACGGTTCACCCCGGCGGTGCTGAGTGCGAGGCGATGTTCAGCACGCGCGATGCTTCACAGCCCCGTCGGCGGGCACGCGAGGTCAAAGAGCACGTCGAGCCCGTTGCGGGCGGCACCTCGGGCGGGTGACCGCGCCCGTGCAAGAGCAAAGGAGAAGGACGGGCATTCGCACACGCCCACGATGCGGCAATGGATTGCAACTACCGCGATGCATTGCTGCGGGTCTCACTGCCAGCGAATGGAACAAACACCTCGTGTGGCAACGTGCGCAAAAGTCGTAAGCCTCAACGAGCGTCACGCCCGAGGCAGCACGACCGAACGGCAAAGCCAGGGGTGCGTGCGGGAGCTGGGATGCGCGGGGGAGAGCCGAGAGAGAGAGAGAGAGAGAGAGAGAGTGCCCAGGCAAGTGGGCTGCGAGCCGACAGGGGCCAGGAAGTCGCACGCCTGAGCACAGACCTTCGTGCAGAAGTGGCATCCGCACTTCAGCGCGCAGTCTGCTACCTGTGTACAGGAACCAAACAAAACAAAACAACAAAAACAAAAAAACACGCGGCGCACCCCCCGCCTCGCTTCAAGGCAGAGGTCGTGATCCAGGCGCGCGGAGGCGCGGCTCGCCAGGATGGAGAGGGGCCCCGGGGGGAGGAGACGGCCCCCCCAGAGGCCCTGGAGGGTTGCCCCCCTTTGGGGCACAGCTCCTCCCCCCGAGGGGCGCCTCCGTTCGACGGCCACCAGGGCCCCGTCGAGGCGCGCAGGGGCCCGCAGGACGGCGAGGAGCAGCTCCAGGGGCGCCTCTTGCTCTGGGACCCCGCTGCCCTCGTGCAAAGCCGTGGCGTTGAAACAGCAGCGTTTTCGGCTTGAAGTCATGGGAGCCTCGTGTACCCTCGTAATGCTGTCTTCAGGGTGCACTATCAGCGACTAGCATCTGGCAATCGCTGGTTTAGCGTCGATTAGCGTCGATTAGCGTCGATTCAGCGTCGACTCGTGTCGATTAGCGTCGGTTCGCAAGATCCAACAAGAGAGTATGGGAGGCTCCCATGCGTTGCCACCGAAAGCGATGAATGTTTGAAATGTTTACTCGCACGCCGAATTGGCCGCGCCTTGTCGATGTCCCCGCCAGACGACGGTGATTTCCCAGGCGCGGTGGACTGCATTTGTCATGGCACCTGGCCCTTTAACAGACGAAAAGGTAGATGACCGAAACCATTCGGTGGCCGAAAACGTGCCCGAAGTTTTGACCGAAAACGTAGCGTGACCGAAACTTTCAGTCGTTTTGGTTTCGGACAAAAAAAGTCGGTCACACTCGGGCGCGGCCGGAAAGCTTCGGGCGCCAGCTTCGGTCACATTCGGGCTGATCTCCGGGCACAGTTTTGGTCACGACGTCATTCTGATAGAGACAAGGCTACGCGACATTTGGATTCCGCATTCGAGCTCACACACCAGAATAGTGTTGGGAGTCTGGATGCGGTGCTCGTCATGTATTTCCCGCCCTGCCAGTTGTATCCAAATGTGTTGGATTCGCTCCGCGAGGCCGTTGTAGATGTTGCTGCTCACTTCAAACGATGTGAATGGTCAAGCGTTGGTTGCCGTGCCATTGGAGGGGGTGGGCGTTGGCAGGGCCCGCTGTGATGCTCGAGCTGTCTAACTTCTTGACTCTTGTTGCTCCTGTTCCTATTCGAATTCCTGCTTGATTCATTCCTATTCCTTCTCGTCTTCCTCCTCCTCCTCCTCCACATCCTCCTCCTCCACCTCTCGGATGATGTGCAGCTTTTTTGGCTCAATCTTTTCTCCGAGCTGCCGCGTGTATTTTGATATTTTCCAGCGCGCGTGGCCACGGGAGTCCGCCACACCAGAGGCGATCACCAGATGCAGTGGAGCTGGCCGGCCAGGGTGGACGCGATCGCGGGGCGCTACGGAGACTGCCTGGGGGCCACAGACGACACCGGCGCGGAGGTCACCTGGAAGCAGCTGAGGCAGCTGTCGGAGGCCGTGTCCCAGGCCCTGCTGCGCAGGGGCCTCTCGGCCCGCCCGAGCTCCGTGTATCCGTCGTTCGAGGGCGAGGTGGTAGCCGCTCCGACTCCAGTGTGCGTTATGATGCCGCACACCGTGGAGGCGCTCGCCGTGATCCTCGGCGTGCTGCGGCGCGGCTTCCCGCTGCTGCCGCTGAGCGTGCTGCACGGGGACCGCGGGCAGCTGCTGCAGCGCTACCAGGAGGCCATGGAGCTCTTCGAGCCCGCCCTGGTCGTGTCGGACTCGCCCCTCGCCCAGGAGCTGGTAAAGCACAGGCCAGCTGTCGAGGTGCTGTCCCCAGCCGCGCTGCTCCCGAACGGCGCTGGCCTGGAAGGTGCGGGGGCTTACGGCGGGGACGTCGCTAACACGCTGGACAGCCCCCTGGCCTACATCTTCACCAGCGGTTCCACGGGGAAGGCCAAGTGCGTGACAGCGACAAACCGCATGGCGTGGGCCGAGGTGCAGTGGTATCCCCAAGTCTTCAAGAAGCTGGGCGCCCGCATAGATCCGCGTACCGACAGGTGGCGGCAGGACCACGAGATGGGCTGGTGGGGCGCAGCGTACTTCGGGGAGGTCGACGTCGCGCTGGCCATGGAGGTCTGCATCGTGATGATGAAATCCAACGACACCGACGTCGCGAAGCGGGGAGTGACAATCATGGGGGCGCTGCCATCTCAGCTGCAGAACCTCTGGCCTGGTGCAAACAACATCCCCAAGACGCTGCGAGTCGTCTTCAGCTGGGCCGAACGCTGCGACGTTGACCTGGGCGATGCCTGGAAACGAAAGGGCGTCAAGATGGTCGACTTGCTGATCGCCTCCGAGTTCTGGCTCTCGCTGGCATCCTGCAACATGGAGGCCGTTCGCGGTGAAGACGGGCGCGCGGCGCACGCCATGAGGGCCCTGGACGGTCCGAAGGTGCTGGTTCTCGGCGAGGACCTCAAGCCTCTGGAGGCTCAGCCAGGTGGCGACGTGTCCGGACTGCTGGGCATAGGCGGCGCGTCCGTCAGCCCTGGCTACGCCGAGCTTCTGGACGACGGAACCACTGCTGTCGGGGCTGGGCCCCTCAGCAAGGATACATTCAAGGTGGTGGACGGCGAGCTGGCCGTGGTGCCGAAGGACCTGGTGAAGAAGAGGGCGGACAACAGCTTCCTGTCCATCGGCCGGGGAGGGGGGACGGTCAAGGTCAAGGGCGGCGTTCTGATGGCCACGAACGTGGTTGAGCTGCAGTTGCAGCGCGGGTCCATCGCGGCCGCGTGCATCACCGACCCAGTGCACGTGGGCGAGGGGTCGAGCGTGGTGCTTCAGATCAACTGGCAGGACGCCTGGAGCCTGAGGGACTGCTTCCAGCAGGTCAGCTTCCTGCGAATGCCGACCCTCTTCACGCTGGAGATGCCCCGCAACCAGAGCACCGGGAAGGTGCAGAAGGCCCTGGTGCAGGCCGCCCTGGACAGGGACCTCGAGGCGGAGGCGGCGGCCAAGGAGGAGCTGCGGCGGACGCAGCTGGCGCAGCTCGCCTGGTTCGCGCGCCTGTCGCTGCCCGCGCTGTTATGCGCCGCCGCGCAGCCCTGCACCGCCTTGAGCCTGCGCCTGGCGCTCTGCGGCGACGCACGGCGCGCCGGCGGCTGCCTGCTGGGCTTCGTCGGCGAGGCCGCCCTGAGGCTGTCGCTGGTCGCCTGGGCCTACGGGGCGCTGGGGCACTCGGCCAACCTCGCGGTCGAGGGCCACCTCGGGGCCTGCACCGCCGGCATCCCGCTCGTCCTGGCGACGGCCGCCGGAGCGGCGCTCCGGGGCGCGCCCCTCGGCCGACGGGCCGGCGTGGGCCTCGCTGGCGCGCTGGTGTCTTGCACGCTGTGGTCTGGCTGCGTGGAGGGCGCGACGAAGAAGCTGGAGTACGAGGAGAAGGGCCGGCTCGGCAGGCTGCAGCACGACTGCGGCCGGCTCCGCTTCGCCGTGGTCCTGGGCCTGGCCCCGCGGCTCCTGGGCACCCTGCCGCGGGGCGTGCTGGACCTCCTGCCCGCGGCGGTCGGGCTGCCGGGGACGGCCCTGGCCGTCTCCCCGAAGGCCGTTTGCTGCCTGCAGGGCGTGGCGCCGCTGTACAGCCTCGGGCTCTGCTGCATCTTCGCGGCCAACCGCCGCCTTCCCGCGGCGCCGCGGCTCTCCAGCTGCTGCGGCCGCCTAGCACAGCGCCTCGCTTCGGCGGTCTGGAGCGCTCTGGAGGCGCCGGGCTACATGCTGAGCTTCGTGCCGGTGTTCTACCTCTCCCTGCCGCACCTCGTCATCGACACCTTCTACGACTTCGCCCAGGGGCAGCTCCAGCGGCCCGGACAGCCCGTGGCCCGCCAGCAGAGCGGTTGGCCTTACGCTGGCCCTCGCCAGCAGCTCAGGTGCATCAAGGCGGACCAGCCTGGAGGCACCTGGGACAGCCCCATCTGGTTCGACGTCACCGCTGGGAGCTGGCACGACGCGCAGGCTCCGCGCAGGGAGGCGGTGCAGGCGAAGACGCCCGCGGGGGAGCGGGCCCAGCAGCTCGCACGCCAGGCCGGGGTGGACTTCCACAGCGTAGACTCGCTCAAGATCGCCAGGCTCTCCGTCCTGCTCAAGAGGGGCTTCCGCGCGAAGCCGGGCGAGGAGCCAGTGGAGTTCGCGGAGCTGAGGGAGGCCTGCGCCAGTGAGGAGCAGTTCTTGGAGCTGGTCGACGGCCGCATGCTGGCGGTGGAGGAGGCGGAGCAGGCCTCCAGCGGTGCTGGCGCGGCGGGGCAGCTCTCACCGCTCTGCGGCGCCGTGTCCTGGGCGCGGGGCGGCTGCTCGATCCACCGGGAGGGCCCAACGCCGGCGCCGTGGGACTGCCAGGTGGACATGACGATGGAGTGGCGCGGGAGCGGGCCCCTGGACCTGGGCCACCTCAGCGGAGCCCTGGGCGACATGCTGCGGCAGCACGCGCTGCTGAGGGCGAGGCCGCCTCCGGACGACAAGACCGACGAGCTGCTGGGGACCCTGTCCACGCTCTCGGCCGCCTCCTGGGCGCTCGCCTGCGCGGCGTGGTCGGCGGAGGGCAGCTGGACGTGGAGTCTCTCGCGGGCGGCGCGCTGGATGGTGACACAGTCCCTGTGGCGGTGCTGGCCGCGCACTCTTGTCGCATGCCACGACGACTGCTCCAGGCTCGAGGTGAAGTCCTTCTCGAAGGACTCCAACGGGTGGGAAAGAAACGTCGCAGACGAGGTCCACCAGGTGCTGAGCGAGACGTGGGAGGAGTGGTGGAACCCGCAGTCCATGGTCAATGCGTGCGTCATTACACTGAAGCGCGATGGCGGCTCTAGGCACTTCCTCTACACCACCGTCTCCCACAAGTACGCCGACGGTGGCGCGGCCGCTTTCTTCGTCCGTGGATTGTCCGATGCATACGAGGCTCGCCTGCGTGGCGCCGTTCGTGGCGGCAGCGACACCCCCGTGCTGAGGGTGCAGCAGGAGAGGCTCTGGGCGTATCTGCAAGGCCAGCCCTGCCCGCGCGGCTCGGTCGACGCGTACTTCAAGGACGTCGACCACGATTCTTTCAGCCACGGCTACGGCTACGGCCTTGGTGTGCAGCTGTCTCGCAACGTGTGCGACGTCGTGCGGGCGGCAGGAGCGCGCATGGCGGCCAGCGAGGAGGTGGCCTGGCTGGCTTGCCTGGTCATCGCCCTCTTCCGCTTGATGCCAGACGAGCCGCTGGTCAAGGTGCTAATGGTGCACAACGGCAGGCTTGGCGACGCCGAGGGCGTCATCGCCTGCACATCGCAGTACGTCGTGCTGTCCATACCGTGCACGGGCGGTCGCAGCAGTGTACCGCTGGCCGACGTCGCGAGCCGGGTCAAGTGGGCAGTGGCCAACGGCAGGTTCAGCAGGCCTGCTCCGTGCGAGCAGACTCACGCCAAGATCAACATCGGCGGCATGTTGGGTTCCGAGGGCGACTGGGCGCAGGTGTTCAAGACGTCGAGGCCCCGCAAGAAGGGCGGCCGCTCGAGGGCGCAGCACGTGCTGCAGCTTCGCATGGACAACGAGGGCGACGCGTGGTGCATCAAGGACTTCAAGCTGCACCAGCACTGGGAGCCCAAGGTCTTCTGGGAGGCAACGATCTGCGCAGCGGTGGAGATTGCCGAGGGGTGGTTCGTTGACCCGATGGCCTGGGGGGAGGCCAGCGCGCAGTAGCGGGCTGTCGATCGCAGCGCTACCTTCAGGAGGCCAGAGAGCACAGTCGGGCAACGTTGACTGCAAATCGAAGTTTGTGGAGCACACGTGCCGTAATTGAGGGCATGGAAGTGATATGACGATTTACTCTATTCGGTCTACACGCGCACAAACCATGATGCAGTTTCTCTACTCCGATGTACTACGATATGATCTGCTCTACTCGATTGTACTCTATGGTGCGACCATGCTGCCATCCCTACTGCTTTCTATGCTACTCTTACTCTGATCTAGTTTACGAATTTCCATCCTACGATACTCGTAAGTTTGAGTCAACCGAACACTTAAGCTCGGCCTGCAACTATACTCGACTATTCTATCACCCATGGTACTAACTCTTCTGTCCTCTACTCTACGTCTATCTTGTACTACTCATTGTACGCTAACTGTTCCCCTCTCTCTCTTTCTCTTTTTCCCCATAGGCCGAGGATGTCGTATCATAGGTACGTTGGGCCAAGTGTTCTTTTCTACACGAAGCCACATGCTGTCTTACAATGCCAGACCTGGCCCAGGGCACTCCTGGGCAGATGGTGATACGTCGTGTCCCGGACGCCCGCGGATTGACATGGGCGAGGCACGATCGGATCATACAAAGTTGAGCTACGCTGGACCCGGCACGGGTATTCCAGATTTCGTAATAAAAGGGAGGGGGTCTGGACCCTCCAAGACAAGCCATCTCAGACCCCCCCCGTGGGAGAACCCTCCAAAACATCGTCCCCAGACCCCCCAGGCCCTCCAAGATAGCCTGGAAGAGACTCCCCCCCCGAAATGAGACCCCCCTCCCTCTATTACGAAATCTGGAGTACTCTCGATGAAGAAGAATTTGAAGGTCGTGCGCATTCTCTGCTCGCTGCTCTGCGTGGGCATGCCGTGGTCGGCGCTTCGGGGGAGTGCGCGATCTCGGCCAGGCCTGGGCCCCCCGAGGGGGCGGAGAGCCCCGGTGGCCGACCCGCCTCGGCGCCCACGAGAGAACGCCGCCGGCGCCGAGCACGCCCGCCTCCCGCCGCAGACCGTGCTCCTCCGCCCTCCTGGGCCCGACGCACCGCGGGCATCGCGGAAGGCGCGCCCTTCCGCTCCAGGATCTGGACGCCCGAAATGGGCACGGAAAGAATGGGTACAATGCCCAACACCAATTCCTGCTCATTTTGAACAGGATCCGCTGTCGGTGTCGCCGCGGCCTGTGTCCATTTGAGACAGAAGGCCGCCCGCCCAACAGCGGCCGCTGTTGGTTCGGGGCAACATTTGCTGTTGGGCATTGTGCCCATTGTTTCCGTGCCCATTTCGGGCGTCCAAACAGGAGCTCCGCGACGAGCTCCCCTCGAGGAGCAGCAGCTGCCATAAATCAAGCAGTGGCGGAGCGTCCTGGCTCGCCCTTCTAGGCCTGCTAAGGAATGTTCTGAGAGCCTTGTGTGGTTTCAACGAAACGTTCCCAGAGCATTTCTGGCTGGGACTGTCTTGTTTTAACACATCGGGCTTATGCTGTAAGAACATTGCTTTTGTTCTTGGAACGTCTTTGGGTTCTAAGAACATTTCGTGGTAGACCTGTGGGAATGCCAGGACGGTCGGTCCCTGCTCAACATGACCGCAAGCTCTTGGAGGTCCGCCCGGGTTTCTCGCATCGGCGCTGGAGCCCCCTGGCGCGCTCCGCGCGCCAGGGAGGGGGAGTCCAGCGCCTGTCCAAGAAATCCGCGCGGAACTTCGAACGCTCATGCTTATGGTATCTCTTGGTCCTGTGCTTACCCGTGGCCTCGGGGAGGCGCGGAAACCCCTGGGCCTCCCGGCCCGCGTGCGCGCGGGGCGGCGCGTCTGGCCGCGAGCGGACGCCCACCCTTCAGGGCGGAGAATCCCGGCGGCGCGCACAGGGGCGGCAGGGCTCACGACCCCATGCGCCCTGCTTGCTCACAGACGTCCGACGTCGTGCTTTCTCACGACGCGCCCGAGGCGGGGAGTTGTCCATAGCCGCTGCCCGGGGCACCGATCTTCACGGACCTCCACGGCCCGTGGCTGTGGATAGCTTCGGGCCCCTGGGCACCAAAAGAGATCCATATCCACCGCCCGCTGGGGCACCGGGGACGTCGGTTGCCAGGTGGCGGGTGTGGATCAATCCCCGCCTCCCATCTGGACGCCCGAAATAGGTACGCAAAGAATGGGTACAATGCCCAACAGCAGTTCCTGTTCATCTTGAGCAGGATTCGCTGTCCACGCCGCCGCGGCCTGTGTCCATTCGAGACAGAAGGCCGCCTGCCCAACAGCGGCCGCTGTTGGTTTGGGACAACATTTGGTGTTGGGCATTGTACCCACTTTTTCCGTACCCATTTCGGGCGCCCAAATCCCAATGCGGCCCCCCAGTGGTGTGGACCTCCTCCCGTGGGCCAGTTTCTCATCCCAGGTCGTCACCTGACGGTCCCAGGGGCCCGTGCAGGGCCCACCCAATGCCGACAAGAGCGAAAAGCCTCCCATCGTAGCGTTTGCCCGCGACGCCAGGACGTCTGGGCTCCCCTCGCCGTCCTCCTCCTCCTCCTCCCCCTCCTCCTCCTCCTCCTCCTCCTCCTCCTCCTCCTCCTCCTGCTCCTCCGCCTCCTCCTCCTCCTCCTCCTCCTTCTCCTCCCCTCGTCCTCCTCCTCCTCCTCCTCATACTGCTCCTCCTCCTCTCCTCCTCCCTCCTCCTCCTCCTCCTCCTCCTCTCCTCCTCCTCCTCCTCCTCCTCCTCCTCCTCCTCCTCCTCCTCCTCCTCCTCCTCCTCCTCCTCCTCCTCCTCCTCCTCCTCCTCCTCCTCCCCCCTCCTCCTCCTCCTCCTCCTGCTGCTCTCTCCTCCTCCTCCTCCCTCCTCCCTCCTCCTCCTCCTCCTCCTCCTCCTCCTCCTCCTCCTCCTCCTCCTCCTCCTCCTCTCTCCTCCTCCTCCTCCTCCTCCTCCTCCCCCTCCTCCTGACTCCTCCTCCTCCGCCTCCTCCTACTCGTCTCCTCCTCCTCCTAATCCTCCTCCTCATCCTCCTGCTCCTCCTCCTCCTGACTCCTCCTCCTCATCCTCGTCCTCCTCCTCCTCGTCCTCCTGCTCCTCGTCCTCCTCCTGCTCGTCCTCCGCCTCCTCCTCATCATCATCAGCAGCGTCATCATCATCAGCAGCATCAGTATCATTATCATCATCGGCAGCATCATCCTGCTCCGCCTCCTCCTGCTCCTCCTCCTCCTCCTCATCATCCTGCTCCTCTTCCTCC